TCTGATTTCACCCATCTTCAGTGCTACAATTATTTTGTTTATTAAAAAATATTTATTAAAAAATCATTGTCATATATTAAGTTTAAAAAAAGTGTTAATTGGACAGCTCTTGATATAAATAAATGTTTTTATAAAATTTAAGCTTTTTTATAAACTCAAAGTAATTAAAATTTAACTAAGGCTAACTATTTATCAAGAATTATATTAATTTATTTATTAATAGAAAATATTTTTAAGTAAACCCTAAACATACTTTATATATTGATTTAAATATTTATATTTAATAAGATAAATATTTAAATATTTTTACAAACTTGTGTTATTTCTATAAAATACTAGATCACTTTAAAAATGAATAACATTTTAGTTTCAATTTATTATTTTAAATAACACAAAAAGCCATAAATTTTCACCCTCTCCACAAACCCCTGTTTAGTAAAAGTCATATTAAAAAAAAATTATTAAAAAATTATTGTCATATATTAAGTTAAAAAAAAGTGTTAGCGTTGGACAACTCTTGATAAAAATAAATGTTCTGTAAAATTTAAGCTTTTATATAAACTCAAAGTAATTAAAATTTAACTAAGGCTAACTATTTATCAAGAATTATATTAATTTATTTATTAATAAAAAATATTTTTAAGTAAACCCTAAACATACTTTATATATTGATTTAAATATTTATATTTAATAAGATAAATAATTAAATATAACAAGTTTGTTTATTACTATAAAAAACTAGATCACTTTAAAAATAAATAACATTTTAGTTTCAATTTATTATTTTAAATAACACAAGAAGCCATAAATTCTCACCCTCTTACCACAAACCCCTGTTTCGTAAAAGTCATATTAAAAAAAAATTATTAAAAAATTATTGTCATATATTAAGTTAAAAGAAGGTGTTAGAGTTGGACAACTCTTGATAAAAATAAATGTTTTTGCAAAATTTAAGCTTTTTTATAAACTCAAAGTAATTAAAATTTAACTAAGGCTAACTATTTATCAAGAATTATATTAATTTATTTATTAATAGAAAATATTTTTAAGTAAACCCTAAACATACTTTATATACTGATTTAAATATTTATATTTAATAAGATAAATAATTAAATATAACAAATTTGTTTATTTCTATAAAATACAAGATCACTTTAACAATAAATAACAGTTTCAATTTATTATTTTAAATAACACAAGAAGCCATAAATTTTCACCCTCTTACCACAAACCTCTGTTTCATCAAAAGTCATTTTAGTAATAGAAAAAAAAAATTCTACAAAAAGAATTAATTTTTGTTAAGAGTTGTCCACCGCTAACATTTACTCGTATATTTTATATTTGGACTATTTTTTCATTTTAATTTTAATTATTCAGAGTTTAAAATATTTTGGTACAGATTTTCGAGCTCAAAAAAAAAAGCTAAGTCTTACTTTAAAAAGCTATTTTTATTAAGGATTGCAGCTGTAAATTTTCACTCTCTTACCACAAACCCGCATTTCATAGAATCCATTTTAGTAAAAAAAAATATTTTTATTAGGTTAATTTTAGTTTAGATTTTTTTTTTTGAGTTTATAAACAAGTTTCATTTTCAATTAAAAAACAAATTTATTTTCATCAAGAGTTGTCCAACTCTGATACCTTTTATAACTTTGGAGTTAATTTTTTAATAAATATTAATAAAACATAAAATAAAAATAATATAAAAATAAATTCTTATTTCATAATTGTCATTTTAGTAGCCAAATTATCTTTTACATAAATCAATAACTTATAAATTATTGTATTTTTGGTGAACGCTTTTCATTGAATTTTGACCGAGAATTTGTTGGGTACTCAACAGTCACAGTCTAAACGCATTTGCAAATAATTGTGTGCGACATTTTCACTTATACTGTGCTTAGCTTGGCGGCATTTTCACATTTTTCAATAGTTTTCACAAAATTGGAAAAGTGCTCCCAATACATAAACAGTCTAAACGCACTTGGGTAAACATTTGTACCAGAGTGGCGCCTAGACTGTGCTTAGTCTGGGGATTTTTTTCAATGTTTAATCCAAAATTACAAAAATATTTTTTGAAAAAAAAAATTAGAAACATTTTTTTTTCTAAAAGCAATTGTTTTGTTGAAACAAGCAGAAAGTTCTTTGAATCATTTAAATCGGACACTTAGTTCTCTCAAAAACTGCCATTTTTTGCACATTTTGCTCTGTATCTTCGAAATGGCGGGACCTGTCTTTGCCAAAAACTAATCACCTGTTCTCTCAATCATTACGAACTGAATGTTCTCTCAAAAACTCGATTTCTATTTTTTGCACTCTTTGCTCCGTATCTCCGTAACGGCTGAGCCTGCTTTTGCCAAAAACTAATGAGCACATCTCCCTATCAATAGGAATCGAATGTTTTTTAAACCATTCAAATCGGTTGATCCGTGCGCCCGAAAACGTGGACGAAAAAATGCGGACATACAAAACACACACACAACCGTTTTTTCTGAGGTATGCCAAAATTTTCATTTTTCGATTTTCGGCCCTTTTCTATAATTACCCTACGGGAAGTTAAAAGTGAATGTTTGTATTTTGCTTCGTAATTAAAAAATTAATGAATTACTGAAAAGCGCGGTTATAATATTTAAATGTGCCAATTAAATTTAAATGAAATCAGTTTCAAATTAGACTAGCACTTGCAATGACTATTAGTATACCCTAGGAACATTTATATGAGGTATGCGTTGCAGTGGGTAAACCATTCATATGAAGTGTATTAGCTGCCTTTTGCACTTGTTTACCACACACTTCCTCATTCACAATCACAAGTTATTTTTCATACTAAAAATTTATTATTTATTTACATATATAATATATATTTTTATATGTATATATATATATACATATACTCGTATACATATATTTGAAGTATTTTACAGCCCAATCGTCGAATTGAAAAAAAAGATTAAAGTAGAAATTCTTTATTCTATTAAACGTTTCGAGACTTAATGTGCGTCATCATTCTGTAATCTAAAAAACATATTACATAAATAACAATAGTTGATATTAAATATAACTAGCTGTAAGTGGAATTCTGTCTTAAGGCAATTAAGGCATCGTGCTTTAAGGCAAATTGCTGGAACTTCCCGTACCAAAAATTATTATTTTTTTTTAAAAACGATTAACATTTTTGAAAAAATTTTACTTCGAAAAAATAAGATTTTTGAGAAACTATAAATTGGACAAAAAATTACTTTTCTTGAAATTTTTTTTAATTTTTTTTTGGAAAAAATATGTTTTCTTTATTTTGACATATTTTGGAAAATCTAAACTTTTTTTCAAAGCAATCGTACTGCTTTAACTGCATAAAGACGAAATATCAAAGCGCGTAAGCGCCGCATCGCCGTCTAACGCGTAAACATTGGTACGGAACCCATAGGAATGTAAACCAAATTTATACTTATTGTTAAAATCTCTATAAAATATCTGATAATTTAATCTGCATATGTCTAATGATTATTTTTGACCGCCAAATGGCATTTTTTTTTTTTTTTTACTAGATCTTCGAAACCGCTAGACCTGCCTTCATGAAAATTTTATCAATTCTTCATCTTGTCAATACAAGTCAATACAAGTAAAATGTTTTTTGAATTATTCAAATCGGACGCTCCGTTCTCTCAAAAACTGAGTTACCGTTTTTGGCACTTTTTGCCCCGTATCTTCGGAACGGCTAGACCTGCTTTTGCCAAAAACTGATCAGCACGTCTCCTTATCAATACGAATCGAATATTCTTTGAATTATTCAAATCGGTTGATCGGTGTTCCCGAAATCGTCGACGAAAATTTGTATCCGCACATACACAAAAATATTCAGAAACCTTTGAAACGTCGAGAAATGCAAAAATTTTCATTTTCGTTTTTTTTGCGATTACTATAACTTACCCTACGGGAAGTTAAAAATATAAAGAGGAGAAAATTATATACATGCCAAACCAGGAAAACCACAATAGAAATTATATAAAATTTATTAAACATCATAACTAATAATAATTAATAATTCGTGTTTAATAAATGTTATGCCTTGCAATGGATAAAGCATCCATATAAATTATAAATGTCTCTTGCAATTATACATTCACAATCACAAATTATATTTCATACTAAAAATTTTCTAGAAATATTTTTTATGGCTAGTTGGCCATGAATTACTAGTTGACTTTACAAAAACAATATTTGTAAAACGATCAAATTTTAAGAGTTTTATAATATAGTTTATTTTCAATTAATAAATTTTTATATCTATATATTTACATTTATATTTCTCCCAGGAATTCAAGAAGAGCAATTAATGGCAGTCGCAAGTGGATCAGAAGTTGGATCAAATTCTTTATTAAATTGTCGCAACAAACGGAAAAAATTAGAAGACCTGTTTAGGCCGCCTATCGATATTTGTTTTATAGGAAGTTTTCAAAATGTAAGTATCAAAATATAATATTTTATATTAACTAGAGTTACTCGGTATACTTCAAGGGGCACAACTAGTGTAACCGCCTAAAAAAAGGTGATTTTTGAGAATATATATTAAAAAAAACTACTTTATCAATCATTTCAAAATTTTAGGAATATATTTATATATGTTTCAAGAATACATAGTAAAATGTTTGAAGAAAAAAATTAAATATTTTTTAAGTTATCGTCGATCTCGTACGGCGCGACAAAAAAAGGGCCCTTCACTGCTGCAGTGATTCCGGCCTTCTACGTGGATGAAATTAAAAAAAAAATTTCGTTAAACCAGATAATATTGTCTGTAAAATGAACTACGATAAAGAAAAAATATCAAAAATTCACAAAATGACGGCGTTTTTTAAAAAAAAGTCGAATTTTACCCAAAATTTTGGTCGTTTTTGGACTGCCAAAATTCGATTTTTGATCCGATCAAAAAATCGATAGTTCATTTTACGGAGAATTATATATAGAACATGTAAAAAAAATTTGATAGTGATCAGATCATTTGTTTTTGAGTAATCGCTGCAGCAAATTCAGAAAATGCTGTTTCGAGAAAAACGCGTTTAAAGATTAAATGATAGTTATACTACAATACTATATATTTACTCTTTGAATGGCTGTAACACAAAAACTATTTAAGATATCGATTTAAAATTTGGGTATGTTATTTTTAAAGGTATAACCCATCGAAATATGGAAAAATTTTAAATTCGATTTTTTGAAAATTTTACACTAGTTTATTACAACTGCTGTAGTTCATATAAGACATGACATTTCTTGTTTGTAACATTAATTATTACAGTTATTATGAAACATTGATTGATATGAGTATTATTATAATATGTAAATCTAATTTTTTTTATTTTATTTATTATTTTTCAGGCAAGAGATGCTGCGACTGCAAATAATAAGTGGTTGCTGGTCAACCTTCAGGATCACACCGAATTTGCTTGCCAGGTTTTAAATCGTGATATCTGGTCGAATGTAGAAGTTAAAGATATTATTAGGAATAATTTTGTATTCTGGCAGGTGCGTAATATGAAATATATCTTATAAATAGTCATAGACCAAGGATGAGCAACCTGCGGACCGCCGGATGTTTTTCTGGGGCCCGCCAAGCGTTTCTCAACCAGAGATTATTTTTCTATATATTTTATCAAATACGGCTATAAAGGCTAATATTGTTGTCAGTAAATTTTATAAAGTCGCGAGGGTTAAATCACCGTAAATTTAAAGAATTTCTGAACAATTTAAAGCGTGTATATAGCGATGTGCTTTTTAATACCAAAGTACGTTAGCTCAATAGTGATGCAATGCTTAAAGGAGTATACGACCCAAATGGCGAACTACAATTGTTTTGGATATGAAAGAATAATTGTAGTACTTTCTTCATTTTGGTAATGAAGAATAATATCTTCTGCGGGATCTTGTGTTTCACTTTCCATATTTAGAAAAATATAATGTGAACAAATTTTATTTAGTTTGTTTTCTTTGCCATTTAACATCGATGTAGGTACACTGTATGAAAACCATAACAGAAAGTGATCAAAAAGCATGCACAATAATACAGATTAAAAAAAATTATTTTTTCGGTAAACATCGAAATTTTTTATAAAACTCATGTCAGCTATGAGAAATTTTTGCTTTTGAAAAAAAAAACGCAAAGAAAATTATGATATTTTTTTTGAATGTGTGCAAATAATTACACAGGTCCACAAAAGAAAAGCTGCTGGAAAATAATTAATTCATTTAGGAAAATTTATGGATTGAAGATTTGCCAGTTTTTAAATATTTTGCGTACCAATTTTGACTATAGATTTATCTTCAGCGGTAAAAGGTACATGGGATAACTTTTTTGTAGATCTGTGTTAATTTCAACCTTGAAATTCATAAAAAAATTCCACCGATCAAAATTGAGTGAGATATGTCAAAACTAAAATGAAGAATAAGATTTGAAAAAAAGGCTGATATTGATCAGCTTATATAAAAAAGCAGTGCCAAATTTTTCATTAAAGTTTTCAAGTAATAGTCTGTTTAACTATTATTTGCTTTCATTTTATATTAATAATTATATACACTTCTTATATACACTCGTAATTATATAAAATATACTTTTTTCAATTTTGTGTATTTGTTCTTTTCTTGTTGCAATTTTGTAATTTTGTTGCAGATACATTATTCCCGCGCTCAGTCAATGAATCTTTTTGACTTAATTTTAGTTCATACTTTTGAGTTTATAAAAAATCTTTAATTTTATTCAAAAAGAAAAAGCAATTTACTTTTTCATGGGTTGTACAACCGTAACAATTTTTTTTAATTTTATTATTTATTTTAATTTTTTTCAATGCGGAATGGAAAACTACATGCAACTCCAAATTTCACTCTCTTATTTTATAATAGTCATTTTACCTCGATAATCGATCAATTAACAATGATCGTTTTTTTTGTGAACGTTTTTAATTGAAATTCGATCAAGATTTTTCTGAGCTTATAAAAAAGCTTAAATTTCTCCGCTCTATTTGTTGCAAAATTTTAAAAACAATTCTTAGATATTGGCAACGAAATGGTTACATCCGATAAAACTAACTGATTTGCAGTCTTTTCCTATTGTACAAACATTTTACAATGTGCATAAGAAGTACATAGTTTTTGAATGTCTTGCAAAAGGAGCAATAAAAGCAAATATCTAGCAAATAAAAGTTAAAATTTAATATTAAAATCTGAAGATAAAACTGTTTTTAAAATAAAATTAGATTTTTTTTAGTTATTGAAATCTCACTCGTTTCGCTAAGCCTAGCATAACATAATACAAATAACAATGTATTTTTGTGTTAGCTGCCCCTTTCATTTATATACTTCATATTTATACATTCAGAATTAGTTAGCCATTTTTTACACTAATGATTTTCTAAAAATATTTCCTGAGGCAAAACGTTTGCCGGGTCAGCTAGTATATATAAATTACGTGCGGCCCGCCATGAAATTTTAAAATTGAAATTGGCCCCGTGGGTTAAAAAGGTTGCTCGCCCTTGTCATAGACCTTATATTGCATGGACTGCTGTGACGTCACATGTCTTAGCGAACATTGCCGACGACAATCGCGGACTCTCCCGATAAATCAAATGTTATATGTCATATGTATAATTTTAATAATATAATGGCAACTGTGATGGCTAATAATTTTGTAAAAAATGATATTTATAATGTTTCCCCAGTGAAATAAATGTACATAAAATCGAATCCGCCTGTTAAAATCGCTTTTTATATTATAAGTCCAATTTTACCCACGTAACATATGACATATGACGGGAGAGTCCTCGATTGTCGTCGGCAATGTTCGCTCAGACATGTGACGTCACATACCCTTCTATGTTTGAGTCTTTTTGACTAGCAGTCCATATACTGTAATCGTTACGGTATTAGTACATTCTGTTTTATCTCACAAATTTCTATTCTATTTTCAGAGTTCAGTCGATAGCACCGATGGGGCACGTTTCAAAACTTTTTACGGTGTCTACAATTGCCCTTATGTTTGTGTTATAGATCCGAGAACTGGTGAAAATAAACACAATTGGCAAAATATTGAAAGCAATTTTAGGCAGGAGTTGGAACGATTTTTACTTTTGACGCCTAATCCGTTGATATCACCAACTTATAAGGTCAGTAAACATAGAACTAATGCGCTTTACCTTGTATGAGTGTTTTCAGCATATCACAGATGGTGCTAGTGTGCTTCAAATTACAGTTGCTCTAGAAATGGAATTTAGAATAGATTTTTTTTTCTAAAAGTTTTTTTCCCAAAATTTTTTTCTGTCAACTTTTTTTCCCCAAAGTTCTTTTCTCCAAAATTTGTTTTCCCAAAAAGTCAAAGAATCATGGTTTTTCCCCAAAAATTTTTTTTCAAAATTTTCCTCCAAAAAATTAAAGACTAGTCCATAGTTTTTCCAAAAACAAAATTTCCCATAAATTTTTTCCCTAAAATTTTTTTCAAAAAATTTATTTCTCAAAATTTTTTTTCCCAAAATTTTTTCCCCAATTTTTTTTCCCCCAATTTTAAATATTGAAATATATCTTTTTTGAATTTTTTCTCATAATATATTTTTTACAAAATATTTGTGATTTTGTTGAAAATATATTTTATAAGCGTATATTTTGTTCTCATTTCATTTAGTCAAATTAATCAGGTTTATCTTTTTTATATTATATATATATATATATATATATATATATATATATATATATATATATTTTTATATAAGATAGATTCTATATATATATATATTATATATATATATATATATATATATACATATATATATATATATATATATATAAAATCTTATCTGGAATTGAACCCAAGTGTAAATTTACGTGCTAAGTCTGGTGGTGACCTCTATGATATGCTGAAAGAATTAAAATTGATGTAATTTCAAAGCGTCCGTGTTTGCCATCTATTTATACTTGTTTACCTGTGGTCAGTAACTTAGTTTTTTTTTTATTTTTTTTTTCAAAAGAGTGTTTTTTTGAATGGGCTGCTAACCACTGTCACCATTTCTGAATTTTTTGAAACAATTTTAAACAATATATATATATATATATATATATATATATATACAGTATATATATATATATATATATTAGCTGATCCAGCAAACGCTGTTTTGCCATCAAACATATTTTGCCGCTTTGCAGAAGTTCTTATAATATACGTGATATATTAATAATAATGTTATATTTTTATTACACAAATTTCTTTACATTTCGATAATTAATTCCAACGCATCGTAGTGTTTTGTTTATTTTAATTTTATTTATGTCAAATAGTGAAATATTTTTTTTAATTAATGAATAAATTAGATTTTAGTCTGAATCAACGCAGTGCCATTATCCGAATATATAATACTTCATATAAATATCAGATTTTTTACTTTTGCATTTAATTTAAAAATATTGAATGTCAATTTCATATATCCAATATGCACTAAATTTTTAAATGCCAAAATATTTCCTTTTTGGTCGAAATTTAATATAATATGATATAATTTATATCTATAATTTGATTGCCAATATTGCCTATAACATAATTTGGAATAATTAATTTATTTGTTTCCTACTGAAGTCGTTAAACATTTTTTTTGTGAAATGTCAAATTTTTGTTTATGATTAATTTTAAATTCAATATGTCGCTTTTTTATTGTGATCTCTGATCTATAAGGTTTTGATGAAGTTTTGGTATCCGAAATAATTTGGTAAGCTAATCAAATAAATATAAATTGTAAATCTATTTATATAATTATTTTCATAAATATTGACAAATGACATTTGACGTTTTTCATATCAACATTTATTTAAATTTATAAACATTGATTTTTAATTAGATTTAAAACTCAAAATTGTGATTTTGAATATAGCATTTCATCTAATTTGGATATAAATGTTGGATATATCTATATATGTACATGTTTTTGAATTATATTTTTTGAACTGTCAATTTTTTTTTTCAAAAATCATAAATCTTTTTTTCTTGAATTTTCCATAAATTTTGACATTTGTCATTTTAGTGTTTGTTTTTTTTTTTTTGGCCATTTTCTGTCAAAATTTTTAGAAATTTATAAAAATTATATATTTATATTTCAAATTTACTTTTCAAAATTTCCTATAACCTAAGTTGGATATATATGCACACGATGAGCCAATAAAATTTAAAATCGGTTCAGTAGTTTGGGCGTCCATCGCGAACCAACATCGTGACACGAGATTTATATATATATATATATATATATATATATATATATATATATATATATATATAGTTACATTTTATATTTTAGGCCCCTACTTTGTCTGCAATAGATTTAAGTGAAGAAGATCAACTAGCATTAGCTATCAAAAACTCATTGCAAGAAGATGCAGATTCTGGCGAATGTAGCTCAATTAAAGACAATACAAATAGTGAGAACGATTGTGATAATTCATCTAAAGAATCCTTTGAGACTTACCTGGGAGACGATAGTGGTAAGTAAAATAATTTATATTTTTCTAGTAGAAATACCAAACTCCAAAAACTGTTATTCTTAACTTCCCGTCGGATAAGTTATAGTAATAAGCCGAAAATCGAATATGAAAGTTTTTGCATATCTTCACGTTTTGAAGGTTTCTGAACATTTTGGCATACCTCAGAAAAAATGAATGTGTATGTGTGTTTCGTGTGTCCGCGTTTTTTCGTCCACGTTTTCGGGCGCACGGATCAACCAATTTCAATAGTTCAAAAAACATTCGATTCTTATTGATAGGGAGATGTGCTGATTAGTTTTTGGCAAAGGCAGGTCCAGCCGTTTCGGAGATACACAGATGGCAATTTTTGAGAGAACTAAGCACCCGATTTGAATGATCCAAAAAACTTTCTGCTTGCTTTGACAAAATAATTGCTTTCGGTAAAAAGAAATTTTTATTAACTTCCCGTAGGGTAAGTTATTGTAATGGGCAGAAAATCGGAATTGAAAATTTTTACATTTCTCGACGTTTTGAAGGTTTCTGAACGTTTTGGCATACCTCAGAAAAAATGGATGTGTGTGAGTGTGTGTGTGTGTGTGTGTGTGTGTGTATGTATGTATGGATACAAATTTTCGCCCACGTTTTCGGGCGTACGGATCAACCGATTTGAATGGTTTAAAAAACATTCGATTCCTTGCTTCCTATTAATAAGGAGAAGAGCTGATTAGTTTTTGGCAAAGACAGTTCCAGCAGTTACGGAGATAAGGAGCAAAGAGTGCAGAAAATAGAAATCGAGTTTTTGAGAGAACGGAGCATCCGATTTGAATGATCTAATTTGATCCGAACGGAGCATCCGATTTGAATGATCTAACATTCAATTAGTAATGATTGGGAGAATGGGTTATTAGTTTTTCGCAAAGGCAGGCCCAGCCATTACGGAGATACAGAGCTAAATGTACAAAAAATGGCAGTTTTTGAGAGAACTAAGCGTCCGATTCAATTGATTCAAAAAACTTTCTGCTTGTCTTAACAAAATAATTGATTTTGGAAAAAAAAAATGTTGTAACATTTTTTTTTTTTTTTTTTTTTTTTTTAATTTTTTGTATATCGAAAATAATTCAGATTTTATTTTTAATTCTGACTATAGTTCTAATATACTTTAAACAAATAATTTCAACTCTGCATTTCAGTTTATATAATTCTTATAAATATTAGACAATATTACAATATTTATAATAATCTATTTGAAAACATTCAATATTCCTCGAACATTACGTTACTGTACGGGAAGTTCCAGCAATTTGCCTTAAGGCACGATGCCACCCACCCCACTAGTTTCAATTTGCTTTTCCAATTTTTTTTTCATTTTTTTTGTTTATCAAAAATAATTTTAAATTTTAATTTTTATTCTGGTTAAAGTTCTAAAGATCACTTATACACTTTAAAATAAATAGTTTTCACTTTGCAATTCAGTTTATATATAATAATTCTTATAATTATTAGACAATGTTACAGTACTTATAATAATTCATTTGAAAACATTTAATATTCCTCGATTTATTCGTTACGGTATGGCCACTAGTTTAATATTTTCTTTGCCATTTAAATTTTTTTCTGATTTTTTTTTTCTCCAAAATATTTATTCCCCATTTTTTTATTCCAAAATTTTTTTTTCCAAAAAATCAGAGAATATAGTCCCTATGGTTTAAGGAAGTCTTCCTATGTGACGGCCTGTTTTTTAGGGATATTTTAGGATTTTTTTTCTACGACCAGTAAATATTTAGAGCTTCAAGTTTTTTATCATTTATTAACACATATTTGGACAGTATAAATATAAAATTTGAGCTAAAAATATTCCGTCAAACTAGAGTTACAGCGCTCTGAACACCCCCGCCTCGAAAAAAAGAGCACCCACTTCCTCCACGATTCCGGCTGATCGGCTTATCTGAAAAAAAAAAAAAATTAACGGCGTTTTAATTTGTAGGCTTAAAAGCACGGAATGACCTATAATCAAATGAATATAAAAAAAATTGGATTTTTGATAGACATTTGAAATAAAAGTTGCAAATTAGGCGGTTTTTTTGTTTTTTTTGCTATAAAAAAATCGAAGTTTTGAAAATTGATTGATCGATTGATAATAGTTCATTCCATGCGTTTAAATATATTGAGTGTCCCTGTAAATTTCAAGTAATTCGGTCCAGCCGTTTCTGAGATACAATGGAGGAAAGTTTGAAAAACACAGTTTTGAGAAAAACGCGTTTAAAGTTTCTAACTGCCAACTCAGCGCTCCGAACCGCTCTTTCTTTCACCTGCTGTATCTTTAAAACGACTTCGAATTTTCTAAAATCGCTTTACTACCGTATTCTAGACATGTTAAGGGAGCAATTTATGAAAAAAAAATCGATTTTTTCAACCCATCACATAGGAAGACCCCCTTAATTCCAAAAAATTCTTTTCCCCAAAATTTTTTTTCCAAACTTTTTCTCCTATAGTCCATCATTTTATTCCAAAATCTTTTTTTTCCCAATTTTTTTTCCGAAAAATCAAAGACGGTTTTTCCCCAAAATTTTCTTTCAAAAAATTTTTTTCCAAATTTTTTCA